ATCGAGTAGGTCATATCAATTTCAAAGACATAAGAGATTTGAAAAGAAGAAATATGGTTTCAAGGTTGCCAAAAATTGAAATTCCAAACGAGGTGTGTGAGGAATGTGTGCAGGTGAAGCAACATAACAATAGCTTTTGCAAATATGCAGGAATTAAGTTGAAGGCAATTCTTGAAATCATATACTCTGATGTATGTGGTCCTATCCAGGTGGATTCGCATGGAGGTAATAAATAATTTGTTACATTCATAGATGATATTAGTGAAAAACTACGGACTTACCTAATCAAGAAAAAAATGAAGAGATTGAGGTATTTTCCAAGTTTAAGTCTATGGTCAAAAGACAAAGTGGTCAAAAGCTCAAGATTTTGAGGACTGCTGGTGGTGGAGAATATGTGTCAAAATAATTCGACATTTTATGTGAGAAATAAGAAATTATGCATGAGGTAATTCCACCCTACATTCCACAGGAGAATGGAACTTCAGAAAGGAAGAATCGAACCATCATGAATATGGTGAGAAGTATATTGGTAGGCGAGCATTTACCTAAAGAGTTTTGGAGTGAAGTTGTGTTGACTGCAATATACATACTGAATAGATGTCCGATGAAGAATCTATAAGGAATTAATTCATAAGAATGCTGGTCTAATGTTAAACTTAACTTGAGTCATCTGAAAGTATTTGGATCTATAACACATAGACATTTTCCAGATCAGTTGAGAAGAAAACTTGATGACAAGTCAAGCCAAATGATTCTAATAGGATATCATTCGATTGGAGGTTACAAGTTGTTCGACCCAGTGAAAAAGCAAGTGGATATCAGCAAGGATGTGATCATAGATGAGCTTAAGGAATAAGATTGGACTGAAAATGTAAACAATGATTCAGTCAGAATCTGTTGTGAAGACCCAACCACTGAAGTCAAAAGAGAAGAAGTTCAACAAGAAGAAGTCAGAGGTGATGCATGCCCAAGCTGACCTCAAAGAACAAGGTACATGCCTGCAAGGTTGTAAGATTGTGTGATTACATTAGATGATGTGGTTGATAATGAAGGTGAGTTGCTACACTATTTTTTCTATGTAGATGTCGAACAAGTCAATACAACTGAGGCATTGAAGGACTCGAAGTGGGTGAAAAAAAATGAATGAGGAATTAAAGTCCACCGAAGACAACAACAATTAGTCACTTGTCGAATTTCCTCAGGGAAATTGATGTCAAGTGGGTATACAAGGTGAAGTTGAATCCCAAAAAGGAAGTAACTTAACACAAGGCTATACTTATGGTGAAAGGATTTCTTTAGAAAGAAGGAATCGACTTTGATGAAGTTTTTGCACCTGTTGCTAGAATTGAAACAATCAAGTTTGTTATTGGTCTAGCAGAAATGAATAGTTGACACATATGTCATATGGATGTTAAATGTGAATTCCTAAATGGAACCTTAGTTGAGGAAGTTTATGTTGCACAACCAGTTAGGGTTGTGAAACAAGGCGAAAAGAAAAAGGTGTACAGACTGCATAAAACCCTGTATGGACTCAAACAAGCTCCAAGAGTTTGAAAAAAGAAGATGGATAATTTCTCAAGGCAGAAGGAATTTGTGAAGTGCACAACTGAATATGAAGTATATGTATGGAGAAGCGAGAGTGAATTACTTATACTATGTCTTTATATCGATAACTTGTTGATAATAGGTAGCTGCAAGAAGGAGATCAAATACTTCAAAGGTGATCTCAACAAGGAATTAAAAATTTCTGATCTGGGAGACATTTCATATTTCCTTGGAATCAAATTCTACAAGAGTAGTAGAGGATTGATGATGCATCAAAGAAGATATGCAAGTGAAATTCTCAAGATATTTAATATGGAAGAATGCAACTCGACTTCGACACCTACTGGACAAAGAATGCAGCTGTCGAAAGACTCATATGAAGGTGATGTCGAACCAACCCAATACATAAGACTTATTGGGTCATTAAGGTATCTTTGTCATACAAGGTCTGACTTAGCATACAATGTAGGTATGGTGAGTTGATTCTTGCAAAATCCAAAGGTATAACATCTAGCTGCGATGAATACTGAGATATCTCAAAGAAACTCTCAACTATGGCATTTTATTTCCTACAGTCATCGATAAAGGAAAATAATGAAAGTTAGTGGGATACACCGACTCAAGTTGATGTAGTGATGTTGAGGATAGAAAATCCATAGTTGGCTACATATTTATGCTAGGTGGTGCACCAATTGCTCGGAGTTCGAGAAAATAACTAGTAGTAACACTATCATCATTTGAAGTAGGATACATATCTTCTTCCCTCTGTGCATGTCAAGCAACATGGATGGTGAATTTGGTCGAAGAGATAATGGGGAAAGATCATGGAGCAATTAACATGAAGATCGACATCATATCATCTATCAATCTGGTGAAGAATCCGATAGCACATGGCAAAAGCAAGCACACCAAAATGAGGTTCTATTATTTTCATGAGGAGATAGCAGAAGGGAATATGAACTTGGAACACTACAAAACTGAGAATCAGATTGCAGACATCATGAAGAATGGAGTGCAGGTCGAAGTGTTCAGAAGACTAAGTTGTGATGAATGTAGATAGCCTAGACGCAATGAATTAGGTGGTGTGTTGAGATTGTAATCTCTTGTGTCAAAGCAGCATGTCGCTCGACAGAAGGAAGAAGTGTCGAACATAGCTTAGTGTGTGTCGAGTTGTATAGATGTCGAAGTGTCGAAGCAGGTTGCTTCACACATGATTTCAAGTTAGGTCTAAAATAGTTATTTTGGGCTTTTCTTTTTTGAGCATTGACTTAGGGAGAAAGATAACCTAAAACTATAAATAGAGGGAGTAACCCATATTATTATACACAATTTGTACTCACATAATTTTTCAGTTGTAAAGTGAATAAGATTTTCCACAATTTATGGACAAAGAGTTACTCTGTGGAAAATCATCTTTTCTCCTTTTTTTTTGTCAAACCCTAATTCTTTTTCATTGTTATTGTGCATTGATAACAATTTTGTTCATTAATATTGAGAGAAATTCTCCATAGGTTTTGATGGATCTCCAATAATATATGTCTACATAGATTGCATGCTCATATGCTCTACCTTTATTTATCAGAGTGTTCCAAGGATGCGATACATCATCACCTCATATTCACTTGGCTTCAGATGTTGTATTTCCGGTTTTTAGAATATCTGGTATCAATACCTAGCATGCACGGTATCCTAAACCAATGCTACAGTTTCTGGAGTTATGGGAAAAATTGTCATCTGCTAGGGCACATGCTGGAGGGTATCTACCAGGCGATTTGTTTCAATTTAAGTATTGTTCTTGGTACATGGCACCCAAGTGATGGTTTTGAATATGTTATATTATTCCCTTGGAATACTGTATTTAATTCTGATAGTTGGCAACAACTTATGCACGGTTTCATTGTGCCAAAGTTGAAGGATGTCTGATGAATTATTTTGTCTAGATCTTGATTTGTTGATATGTTTATTGTTTTTAATAAACTATAAAATTTATTGAGACAATTTTTCAAACGGATGATATGCATAAAAAAGGTAGAATAATGTTTATACAATCTCTCACATACAAATACATATCAACAAAGGAAATTAGCATTCACATCAAAAAAGTTTAATTGATCAAGCGCAACAATTACTAATATCAATTTAAGCATTTTCATTGAGTGTTATTGATGGAACTATTTGTGTTTAGTTCTTGAAAAATGACGTTACCAGTTTTGTGTAAGAGTAACTAAAGTGGTTTTGATGAAAGTCGTGTTTGTGGACCAGACGACGGATTAAGTGTTGTTGTTGATGTTGTCAAGGTGTTTAGATTTTTTCTTGAACCAAATGACGGATTGAGCAAGATGTAAGAGAAGAAGAAGAGAAAGATGAACAAGAAGAGTATCATTAAAATTAGTGACATTTATAACTCCCACAATTTCATATGTGTTTTTAATCAAATAAAATGTTGACTTTAAATTATATGGCGTGCAACATAATATGCCCGCCAACTTCCGTTATAAAAATTTGACGGTAAAGACTAAAAGTGTGAACGATAAATTAAGAGGGTAATTTTTTAACGATTTTTTTTAAAGACTAAAAGGGAAAATTTTTCAACTTTAGAGGAACTCAAACCAATTTTTTATTCTAATAATTTAAATTAATTGATATAAAAGTGTTCATAATTCATGAACTATACCGAACTAAATCACATTTATAATTCGGTTTATTTAGTAAGGACCACTTCAATAAAAATACAATTCTCTATTAAAATGTTTTCAATGCAATTTCAAACTAGTATATAATCTGTTTTTATTTATTTATAAATTAGTTTATATTCAATTTGCAATTATAATTCAAATTTATATGTTGAACTCTTTTAGAATCAATATTGTACCTTTTTAATTAAAAATAGATTTTTTTAATCTTTTGGAATAAAAAATACTTGTTTATTTTTGAAAAAAATATGTTTTTTTCAAATTCTTTTATTTAATTTTCAGAATAAAAAATATTTTTTTATTTTCATAAAAAAATATTTTCTATCTTTATTTTCAAAAAAATAATATTTTTAATTTTATAAAACATTTTTTTATTTTTAAATAATTTATTAAAAAAAAATTAATAAATAGCATAAATTAAATTTGATTGACTGAATTATTTATAATATGTGATTGAATTTATTATCCATTTAAATTATTTTAGTTTTTTATGGTTGAATAGACTTCAATTTGAACATGTGGTCCAAATCCAATTAACCCTATGTTTGCATATTACTAGATATGGTTTTTTTAAAAATAAATTCATGATGTTAAACAACTCAAAAGCAATTCTTGAGTTATTAAAAGTGAAAATAAATTTATTTTATCATCAAATAGGAGTTAGCCTTTTAAGTCTACAAGACTCACACATTTAGTACAACTAGTTTTTGTAGCGTGTAAATAACTCTTCACTCTCCCTTACCAATTTAATTTCTTCTCAACATGGCAAGACCTCTTGTTTCCAATCTTCTCAATCTTCTTCTATATTCATCATCCATGTCCTACATAACAATTTTCTTTCTTGTTCTTTCTGTTTTCTCTATATTTTTCATGATCACTTTCCTATGTGGTAGCAAGAGCATGAAGAATCTCTACATAGAGGAGGAAGAAGCAACGGCGGGGGCGGGTTCGAGCAACGAAAACAATTTGATTTCTAAGGTGAAAAGGAAAATGAATAGGAGAAGAGTTTTAATGATGAAGATGCTGTATTGGAGAAAAATAGAGGCTGAAGAATTGGAGAAAGGAAACCAAGATGATGAAGAGGAAGTTCTTTGGAAGAAGAATATCTTGATGGGAGAAAAGTGTCGACCTATAGATGAAGAAAATTAGTAGTAGTAATTTTTAATTTCATGTGTAAGGATTTTGCATATGTTTTGGATTTTTATTTGAAGGGTTAGACTCAAACTTTATCGATGAATTTTTCAAGAAATTAGATAGTTTTCTTTCATTGATAGTGGTAGAAATATCGGATTGCAAGAATACATATTGTACCCACGACAATACCATAGACGTAACTTATTTTATTTTATTATTGTCTAAAATGTTATAGAACAAATTTGGAACTTTTACTTCTAAATAATGATGTTAGTGAAAGTGAGATTTTCAAATATTGGGCAAAACTTGCATTTAGAAAGGAGATACCATTTTTTTTTCTCTCCTAAAAACTTTATTGAATGAAACCTTGGTATTTGAAGTGGGTCAAGAAAACCATGGATTGGAAAGCATGTTTTGCATTGACACGAGAATTCATTAGGATTCCAATTTTCAACCATTTTAATATAAAATAAAATAAATACAAAAGGTATTTTTTTAATATATTACACTTTTGAATGAAATTAATAATTTTAATATGGTCATTTAGTTTATTTTTTATTTTTTATAATAACAATTTTATATACAATTTTAATTTACCGAATTGACAAGTTTAAAATTTATTTTACTTTTAAGTTTAAAAATGTTATTAGTAAACATGGTCAACTTTACTTTTAAAGCTCTTTTGTTACTTTAACATAAAATTTAAGGCAGGGATAACATGGACATAGCACACCATCTAAATAGCTATTGTAAAAATCTTTTATTAAGTATATGCAACAAAATTATTTTAAAGATTTTCTTATTTTATTGTTTATTTTCAATCAAAAGTCTAAACTTTGAATTTTTAAGGGTATCTGAAATTCTGGTACAGACAACACATACATTTTAACATCAGAATAATGTTAAGATATATGTTACAATATCTGGTAGCAGACTAGATCAATGAAGTTATAAGTGATACAAAAAAAAATTACAGAATGATAAATGAAACATAGAGTTGTTAATCCAGTTCGGTGCAACATCACCTACTCTAGGGGCTATCAAGCCAGGAAAGAAGTCTATTATCAGTAGTATCAGTCATAGCTAAACAATCTCAGTTTACAACTTCTCGCCTAATCCCTACCCAATGCAACTTCTACCTAGGCACCTCCTAGATATGCGAAATCGCCATCTCACTTCCTAAATCACCTCAGTGATATCTAACTGTCCCAATCCTAGTAATTGTAGCAAATACAACCAAATTTAAAAGATTACACTTCAAATAAGAAAATTCAAACTCTTGCTTAAAAGTTTCGAGTGAGAACAATAACTTGACTAACAGTCAAGTAACAATCAGTCGACCACATAGTATCAAAAGATACATGGGTGACTTACAAACTACACAAGAGACTCTCAAAATCTAATACCTTCCCGTAATTTTACAATTTTGAAAACTTAAATTACATTAGGTTAGGATTCTCCTTTAAATATAACTCTGGAGTCTATGGGCTTCGATATTGTGAGTCCAAAAGTTTCTTGATCCATAAGCTGAGTGATGCATCAAATGTGTAACAAATCTCTTTAAATCTTGGAACAACCAATACATAGTTTTCTAAATTGTCTCAAGACTCAATTTAGTAACTAATGTACAACTGCATATACAAATTTGTTCCAAAATAAATCTTCTTGACCTGCGAGAATATCTTAAATATATCGAAAGAAAATATAACATAATCAAATTAAATCTGTCAAGATTTTAAACACAACAACTCCTGCCTGCTGCATATCAAAACAATATGTCACGATATTTTGTCCAACATCTGGTCAGAACCAGGTTTTAGCAAGAGTTGTCAATCCCAAAACTATGATACTAATAATCTTCATCTTTGGAAATTTTTGGCTAAAACAACCAAAGACCAAATAACATGGAGAGAGTAATAAAACCACAGATAAAAATACTACAAACCACACTACACAGAACATGTATCTAAGATACAGCAGTTACACAAACACAAGCAACATGCTAAACATATAAACTTTGTACACGAGGAAGAAGATAAATGACCCCCCCCCCTCAAACACAGTCCCCATTTACCATCCTGAGCTTTCAAGATAAGGACTCATATGAGCTTACCTCAATTCTGGATAACTCATAGCACAAGACACAACTATGCTCATAACTCAAAACATGAGACACAAGTACAGACAGGATGTTGGAACATCCAACATGACATCCTGCAAACATAACTACAACAAATGTAGCAGCAGAAGCAGAAGAAGTAAACACATACCACACTCATACACAAGACTCACATGATGGACAATCATGCTCCCCCTAAAATATTACAACAAATAACACTAGACTAGACTCATGACACTTTTTCCCCCTTCTTAGCCAAAAATTGACAAAAACAGATTGAAAAGAAACTGACACACATAGAATCAACATAGACAAGAATTGATTCAAGACATAAATGAAGGAAGATTCAAAAATTGACTCAATAACTTGACACAGAAGCAAAAACATCAAATTGAATCAAAATAAAAAGGACTCACTTAAACAGGACTGACACAACTTGAACAAGAAATAAAAGCAGACCCAAAGAAACAAAGAGTAAGTCTAAGTTTCTCCAACAAAGCAGAACACCAAAAAAACTCAACCAACAGAAACAAAATCCACACACCTTTATATATATATATATATATATATATATATATATATATATATATATATATATATATATATATATATATATATATATATATATATATATATATATATATATATATATATATATATATATATATATATATATATATATATATATATATATATATATATATATATATATATATATATATATATATATATATATATATATATATAAGATAGCAGTCACCAGCTATCCAATTCTCCCTCCCGTGTGAATGAGCGTGAGCCAGTCTTCATCAGCATCTGAATCTAAATCATGTATATGAATCTGATTCTTCTTCACAAATTTCATCTCTGCTACATATGGTTTTCCTATCCAGGATGCTCCAATTGATGTTTTGTTGCAATGTTGAACCCAACCTTCTTTGGATCACTTCTCTTATTCTTGTTGGATTCCAGCAGATGAACCTTCTTAATACCAGCATCTCTAGAATATTTTCTCATGTTGAAATGCAGCAAATGAGGATGTTGAGGTAGACAATATATTAAAGAAAAGGAGAGTTACTTTGATTGTAACGAAGCCTTGTTTGTAACAATGAGGCAGTCAATTTAAACATTTTTGGAAGGAGATAAAATCTTCTTGAGTAACAGTGCACCTTTCACAATAGGAGAGAGACGCGTTATTGTTCAACTTTTTTTCTTTTCAAAACTTTGACTATTGGCAATGTTACAACATTTGAAATGACATTCTTCATGTGACTTGATAAATGGTTTTTCTGAGACAGCGCGCTTCACAAGGATAGTAGATAAAATCATCCAAACAGTTTCCATAAAAATTCTTCAATAGTGAAATTCCATAAATACCCCTCATATTCTCAATGTAACTTTCCCCTCAAGTTATGAGAATACTTCTTAGATCTTCTCAGACGTACCGGGTTTAGGAGTGCCAAAACTTTCTTAACAAAACCGTTAACACAATGTTGACTTAAACCCATGATTTTATTCTGTAAACAGAACAGAATCCTTGAGTATCTTTATTGTATCGGCTTGTCATACGACAATGTCATGACATTCAGGTTGACATTACACTTTCTTAGTGACCAACCAATTGAAAACACATCTTTCTTCAATAATATACCTAATCTTTAAAATATATCAGGACTCAATTAATTCTAATCCAAGAAACCAGATTGTTTCTTAACACAAGAATATCCTCTAATTATATAATTTTTTTTTGACTTGGCCCAAAAGATTTTACTCCAAGATTCTTCAACATCACATATTTCACCTTTGAAACAATTGATTATCACATACTAAAATAAACTCCTTCTTAAACACTTTGTTTTCTTGAGATCCTTCTTGTTTAATGCATCCTATCCTTTTAGAATTTTCTATAATCTTTAGAGTATCAAACTGCTGAAATGATGTTCCAACATCTGATTGAACATCAATTCCTTTCTCAATGAATACATCACTAATTCTGGTCCTGATAAAATCACTAAAAGTAATTCTCCCAATAGAGTAACTCAGAAACATACCTTGTTCTCATTCAAGAAATAGATAAGGACCTTTGAAGACTTCTCAAATAATATATTCTTCTTTGTTGTAGATCACAAAAGAGAATAACATGTATCCCAATATCCACTAGGACACTCATCATGCATTGAGCTAATCAGATCCATAAAACATGTTCTAGAGCTTTTGCAACTATCTGATGTTGCACTTTCTGGTGTGACATCTTGAATTCTTCTTTCTTGAATATCAAGTAAAAGGACGATCAATTAAATACTCGTGGATTCCATTTATAGCAATTGTTCTTAAATCCTCAAAGAACTTAAAACAACATTCTTCCTTGATGACATATACCTTCAGACCTTGATCAAACAACTGACTTATGTGAATTACACTAGCCATAATTCCTTCAGTAAGAAGAAAAATTACCAAAAAATTAGAGAATCCATCCAGAATTCTTTAGTTATCCAATGTCCTTAAATTTCCCTTTCAGTATCATCAACAAAGTAACAGTTAATTAGAATGAAACTTAAATAAATCACCATAACACTTTTACCGCAATTAGTGTCAAAATACTAATCATCTTAGTTGGAGATCTAGGAAGGTATGAGAGATAAGGAAACTATCACCTTCCCTGAGTATTAACCACTGCTTTGTTAAATAATTCTAAATTTGACCTTTGAGAAAGTAACCAAAGTTGTTAAGATCAACTTTTCACAGAAGAAATATCTTCAGTGCAAGTATATACCTATAGCATGAGTAAACTGATGTCCAACACAATGTTAAGACATTAATATTGACATCCTTGACTCAGCATGCCTTTTGATAAACGATGATGATGGCTTTTGATTTTTCATTTGTGATATCTGAA